CGGTACATACCTGGTACAAAATATTCTTCAATTGTATGAATATACTTTTAAAGAAAATTATAATTAAATATAGCTTTGCAAAGAAACGTACATAAAAATATAAAATATTCTTTACTTTTTAAATATTAAAACAATGCACTTAGTCAAATAGCTCCCTACGAGTGGCTAATGGATGGAATCGAAGACGGTTGCAGAGCGTGCATACACGCGGACTGCCAAATCCCCAGGGTGCCGATACCGGTCAATGTCAAATGCCTCTTTTGTCGCATCACTAGTATATCTCAAAGGACGCGACAGGGTTGTTATAAATTTTAAACGTTTTTCACCATAGCTGTAAAAATCTAAATATGTTGAACTTAGTCATTTGCTTTCTAACTAATTCGTTTTAGGACCAGATGTTGTCCACGGAAATTTCCAAAATTTACAACTTTTCGGTCACTCTCGTTGAACTGGAAAAATTTCTGTCTTTATTACATTAATAATACGAAGAAATCAGTCCCCACTGTACTTGGCTAGAGATTGGTTCGTTTAAGCTTTTAAGTAAAATTTCGGCTCTTTCATCAGGGTTTTGTTTACTTCCTCAATTCCCTAATCGCTTAATTATTTAACTACTTCTTAAGTAGAAATAAGTCGAAACCGGTTACTTTGTACTCAAAAATTTGTAGTCTCGGGAAAAAAGTGGAAAGACAAATTTTTATGACAAACGGATACATAAATCGTAAATTTATGAAATATAAATTCTAGAGCTTTTTCTGTACCTGGTACATCTCTCTCATTCATTAAATTTAGTTGTAAATGATGCTGTCGAAGTAACAATTAATTTTTTAACATTATACAAGAATTGTACACGTTTTTTTCTACATCCCCATAAAGATGGGACATACGAAATCGTGATATCACTGGTTTAACATTGAAATCCGTAAGTAGTATAAGATGAGAGAACGGAATAAAAATATCAAATATTTTAATGGATTTTTTAAAACTCCTGTCAACTATACAGAACTATGGTAAAAACATACCAATAAATTCTTATGGGTTGGGTTAAGTTATAAATCTACTCGCGATTCACGTAATCGGGCGAGAGCGGCCAAATATCTAGCGGGCGGGCGGCTAACGGCCCAGAACCGGTCCAGGATAGAATTGGATGCGGTATACGTGTAGCATCCACCCGAGGTCCTAGGCTTCCACCGGCTAAACCGGGTGAGGTTGGTGATCTGTAAAGCCCGTGCGCGAATCTGGCTTTATGGATGCTGACAATACAGCGCATCCACTCCGCCACTAATATTCGAATATACAATAGCGATCTTATTTTTTTTTCACGTGTAGTATAGAAATTTGTAATAAGATACATAATGCGATTATAATTGTGCGATTATTTTCATATAATTAAAATTAATATGTATTTATTTTTTAGAAAATACAAGGGAAGCGGCGCATCCACCGCTTCCANTGCTATAATATTTCTTATAATGTATTCATTCATATCATTGCCATAATATGCAGTTTGTCTAAATCTATTTTCTCTATAAATTGAAGTGTTAACATGATTTATTGGATTTTTGATAAAATTTATAACTTAATTGACGTATAACCGTTTTTCATTTGGCAGTTTTAGTGAAGTTAATTTGTATTATTTATTTTTATAATGTTTTTAATAAACTTGTTACTAATTTTCTAAAGTTTTCAGTTGCAGTAAATATCTTATAACTTCAGTAAAATTAAATAGCTTGATCTACTTATTTGTTATTGCTAATGATATATTTTACTTTGTGATTACTTTCATTTACTTAACTTTTTGTTTTTAATTTGCAGTGTTGTTTATGAATTTTACAGACCTGCTGGAAAGAACATTATTTGCAAAAAATTACCATTAGGACATCATCAGATACTTCCAGATTGGTATATTAATCATTGGAATTAATGATTTTATTTTATTTTATAAAAATATAAAACAGTTGACTGCTAAAATCAATGGATTATCTATTGTACATATTTTTTTCATTTTTATTGCTTTTTGAATTTCATATTTGTATACAAGATTTTTCCTAAAGAAATGTAGTTATTATATGAATATTTAGTATTAGAAAAATTGTTCTAATATATAGACATTCATGACAAATAATAGCCGATAAACAATCCTTGCTTTATATTTGGAATTTTGTTATACTTGTATTATGTATGATTGATTTCAGAACTCCTCATAGTAATTCACTTATTGTTAGTGGTGTAGTGACAAAATTTAGCATATATGGCAAAAACTAAAAAGCTCAAATTATTTTCCTGAACTATATGTAATTATTATTGATTTAGAAAATAAAATTTAAAAAATTATTTGTTATTTGGTCAGTTGGCTGGAATCATATTGGCCACACTCTCACTATCATCTTCAAAAGCATCTAAAATTAATGATTTGCTCCACTATAGACTTCTATATTTCTTAGGAAAATACTAGATAAGATTAAAAGTTATAATATTATCGAAATGGAAGAGATCAAAGTGTTTCCAAACCATGGTTTACAGGGTGTTAGAAAAATAATTTAGCAGGGATATGGTAGATAATATATCAGTGATAGTAAACCTGTGACTTATGCAATGAATTCAAGATACTCATCTTGAATGTGTAGAAAGTATTATATTTTATAAATTATAAAAACTATTTAATAGATTTCAAAACTTTGCATATGTAGTGTGAAAGCAGGGTTCTAAAGCTGTCATAAAAAATCATAAAGGCAACTAATTATAGAAAAGATAGAATAAAATAGAAAAATTAGTCAAATAAACTATAGATTTTCTAGTAAACAAAATATTTATTTCTGTTTATGATCACATTTATGCTATTTTTCTGATATAAATTAAAAAGTTAAATAGAGTAAAGTTTATAAGCATTTTTTTTAATTACCCAAATTAAATATTTGACCCACAATTTGGAGTTACTAAATTTCAAATTCAATTTTGACTCACTGGGAAAAAAATAGTCATTGCTGATATACATCATAATCAGTAAAAAGATCTTAGTAAAGTTAGAATGAAACTACTGTTTTTGGGTTACTATATTAACAGTTTTGTATGTTAGTATTATGACTGATTTATGACCTCTTTTGATGTTCTTCAGCATCAAAAGAGAGGATGATCTTGTTGCATTTACAGTTGTTCCACACTCCATTGAAATGCAAACTATCAAGATATGTTATTTTATAAAATGATGTAAATTGACCCAATCATAAAAAAAGAAGAATCAAGTTAAATGTCTATAATTTGTCATTCAAATATCAGAGCATTTAATTTAAAAAACAATTATAAATTTTAAATTGAATTATGTATTATATCTCTTCCAGAGAAATAAATTATTTTAAAATATTTTAAAATTTAACATTTTTTTATTAAAATATAATTTTAATTAAAAATGTAATTAATATTTTAAAGTATCTTATTAAATTCTATTAAAATAGTTTAAATAATTCATTTTATTGAGATTTATTGAAAGTATAGAATTACTTAGAAAGGAAGGACATTGTTCAGTGACAAAGGTAACAAAACTTACCCTGGTCTGTCCGGAAGATGTTAAAAAGCTATGTTGACACACAAAAATATAGATGCTAATGCTGAATGAATTTAAAGTTATTAAGTGTAAAAATATTGTATTACAAAATTTCAAATGGTAAAATTTTATTGATATACAGAAGGTGTGTAAGTGGACAAACAAACATTGATTAAGGCAGAAACATCTTTCTCAGTGAGTACACTCCATACATACAAAGAGTAGGCATTCATTTTATTTGCATTTTTTGGAGAGACTACATTCAAAGCAAAATGTTAAGGGTGTTTCGAATGATCCAGGCCTTTTTGATGAATATCCACATTTGAAAAATGTGTGTGGTAACAGATTTTTAAATCTTGGTGTCAAGAACTGAAAGGGTTCTAAATGCAGAAAGTAATCTGGGTGCAAAAAGTTGATGTTTGAATCAATCCATAATTGAATTTGTAATAAATTTCATATTTTTGTAAGGACAAAATGTTTGCAGGTTGAGTTAATCCAGGAATGAGTTTCTTAATGAATTTTACATCTCTGGGATTGCCAAGTTAAATAGTTCATATTTGGTTTCCAGAAATCTAACAAAAGAAGACATTTCTCCAAATTCTGAACACTAGACTGGCATACTTCTTTGAGGAAAGTCTTCACATCATGCTCGAACATATTTAATGACTTACTTGCAAATACTTGGGGTTGCAAAAAGTTTGGGAGGTTCACGGATTGAGAAAAAGTGACTTGTGGATTCTGCTATCAGAATGTATCAAAACGCATCAAAGCTCTGTCAATCTATATGAGCAGCATAATCATATACAAATGAGAAGTGACCGAAATTGAGCCCATAGTGGCACGTACATTCTTCATTCTTCGCAGCTCCAAGATCCTACCAAACAGATTTTTTTTAATCTTAACTGATCGGCATTAATGACTTCAGCAGGGTTTAAATGAAGTAGTACTGTACATCAATTAACTATCATATTTCTTGTACAAATGCTCCTCCTTATTTTTGCTATAAGATCATTGATTTTTAATTTTGCGTTATATTTTCCTAGAGTATTTTCTTGGCGAAATATCTCTTTGATGTTTTGGCCATGGCACCTGAATTTTTGCGCGTCAACTTTTTTTAAGGTCATTCGGATAAATCGGGTTTGGTTTTGCCATCTTTGCCCCTGAACGGTGTCCTTTCTTTGTTACTAAACACTCGAGAAAATTAAATTTGAAATCATAATTAAATCACTTTGTTTCTAATTGAATCGCCGATCTAAATTTATAAATAATGTTAATATAATTTTAGTAAAAGTATTAAATTATTAATTAAGACAGAAAAGTGCATGACGTTTCCTTAAGCTTCTAGAAAATCATATAAAAAAATAAGATATTTTATTTAAATAATTTTTAAAAATTATATTCCAAACAATTTATCTGTACTTTCTAATGTAAAGGATTAGGATATACAGTATATATTTCTCCATATGTGTGACAACTGTTAGCGATTGCACTGTATTATGAAAGTATTGTGATTTATTTTTATGCAATAAACCGAATGTCATTTTCGAGCATTTATTTTGAATCTATAACGAAGTGCTGTCTTCCATCACCAGGATGAGATAAACAATGATTTATTATTATTATTATTATTATTATATGTACAGTAATATTTATATTATTATCCTGGTAACTCTATTAATTATTGTGATTCAACTGACTAAAAGTTCACAGATGGCGTAACATTCTATATCTCCCTCCAGTCAGGAGGTTCTAAGAATTTTACGCAATTAGAAATGATACAGAAAGTCGATTAAATTTTAATTTATCTGTGTTAACTTTCCTGGAGAATATTTTTATATTTGAGAATTATACATAACAATCTTAAATTACTCTAAGATAGAAGCAGTTACAAATTCACAAATACTATCAATTATTATTATTATTATTATAGATAAATACTTTATGTAATGTTTTTATCTATAATATTATAGAGATAAACATGATAAATATATGTACTAATTTTTATCTTTATAATAATGATTAACCAATACAAAAAATATTAATTGCATTACATTCTGAGAAATAGAATCCGGATATATTTAGAATTCTGAATATTAAATACAAATGAAACCAAAATATAATCAGAAATTTATTGTTAAATCGTTCAATATAACCTTTATTTAACAATAAAGTCTATAAAAAATTTGAGCCATGTTGAAGACATGTATAGCCTATAATAATACAAATATAATTGAGTGTAATTTTGAATACAAAGTTTAATATACACATTTTTTTATTTATATTTATACTTCTAATTATTTTAAATCCAATAAATTTAAAAAATGATGTGCCCATTTTACTAGTCAATCAGTCTTTACTTTAAGAACAACTCGTTTAGCAAAGACTGAAGTTTCAAACATTGCAATATTTTCTCTTTAGTGTAAAAGACTTACATTTTATAAAGACACTTAATGCCCTCGAGGTATGGCCGAGTGTGGTAACCTTTTACTCTTGTGGACTCGGAATCGAATCCGGACAGGTCGAAAAGCACAGGAATTTTTCGGAGAGTTGTCTGTTTTGATTTGTTGGACCTAGTCCACACCGTTGTGGGCCTGGCCGAACCCATAATGGACTTGCTTATTAAACGGGCCTTCTTTGTGCCCATAAGGCGGAATGAGTAAATAAATAAAAAAATATATAAATATATATATATATAAGGAATCTTTGAAAGTGTACTAACACAAACTAGAAATGTAGCTATGCTCGCAATATTAAGATTGTTTGTTGCAACGTAACACTTGGGCGATCTGCTAGGGGGAATGCCTTCCGAGAGGTCTTTTTAAGGGAAACTGGCCCCTATTTAGGCGTTACAGACGTTGAGAAAACCTGGAAAAGTCCACATGGCCAGCGTCCTGGCAAGGCGCGAACCCTGCAATTAAGGGGATTGATCGAGGATATGCATTATGTAATTTTGAGAGTGGGTATGTGCGATAGTGTTACGGAGCGTTACAGGGGGTGGTAGTTGCAAAGTATAAAAGTAATGTCATATAATTTATGAAGATTCCTAAGCTCATATTTTGAAATTACAGAATTGAAATATGACAACGTTGTTTGAACAAACAAACGAACATAAATCACATACGGTATATTTCTAACAAACAAAAAGTTCATTAATAATAATGTATGAAATTTATTATTATAGAGCAGGAAATAGCTTAAACCAATACCGTGTTTAATAATTTATAATAAGTAATAAATTTTATCAAACGTTACTCGAAAAATTGTAAGACTACAGGAAAAAATTTTTTAATTAAAATTTTACATCTTTTTATAATGTGAAGCCATGTAGGTAAAGAAATCCATAACACTTCAACATTTTCTATTTTGATTTTTGTAATACAGTAGAGCGTCAATCATCCGAAAGAATTCCAGTCGGCAAATTTAAATTTTCGCCAGTGCTGTGGCGCTGCAATCTTTGGCTATGTCTTGGGCTACTCAGATATTTTACGTTTTTGATACTAAATTAACATCTGAAGTATAATTTTTTATTATTTTTATATTTTTCAATATATTTATTTTGTTTGTACAAAATAAAAAAATAATTTTTAACGATACAATAGTCTTTGTTAGGCTTAACATCGACGAAAATTCAACGCGAAGCGACATGCAACGGA